TTTTGCCTAAAAAGCGAGTACTGTCCAAACCCAGTCATAGATTTAGTCATAGATCCAGTCAAAGATATATTTTAGTCATTTCTGGTTTAAATTGAGATCCCTTCCCTTTATAACTCACTTATCCTCCGCCATTCCCAAGTCAAGGGTCGTATATACTGACCCACTAGCATATCTTGAAAACTAGAGCCAATCAACAATTTTAAGCATCACTTTCATTCTCAGTGACCCAGAATTAGTAAAGTTTGACTACATTTATTTCAGAAGCATTTTGGCTGTAGAGCAGTGTTATCTATGATGGCTCAAAATGCCCAGGAAATGTCAACAAATTCTCATATCAATCAGTGAACCCCATCTGAATGCAACTATAGTTCAGCCACAAAAAGTTCAGGATACCAGTTTTTAATAATCAAATGATAGCATCTCACAATACAATAGTGTTCAGAGAGAAAAATGTCTTACCGTTCCCCAGTTTTCCACACATATTAAGTATGGATGCCACCATGAACCTTCCGTTGTCCCATGACTTATTGGAGAAATCCTCATCTAGGCCATTCTTTTTCTTGTAAATGTGCAGGAGAAGATTTATAAAGCAACTACCACTTATGAAAATTAAAAAAGGTGCAAAGAATATTATGTTTAACACACACCAGATGAAGCCGATATAGTATAAATAGTGGTACTCCACACCAATCCATTCTTCTAATATGTAAGTCAGCCAGGTCGAGCTAATCACTGATTCCTGCCATGAAGTATGGGATTCACTTTTACTTAACATCTTCTGTTAAAAGAATTAGGCAAACTGAGTCAAACTCTCTTCGTAATCAAAGCAGCTTCTTAACCTTGCCCCTAGAAAGAGAGAACACGCTGTTCATTTATTCCTACTACTACCAGAGAAGTTACAGACATGCTTTCATTGTATTTAAATGATATTCTTAATATCCTATTTTTCTCATGTGAAGCAGGACTTTGATATATCTATTTTTAAACACATTGCAGTAGTGCCAGAGGAAAATCAGCAGAAGAGGGGACTGACCGTAGCAGAGGAATCCTGGCAGTGGCCAGTGATGGACCAAGTGTCATGGAAGGCCTGTGCAAGGGGGTAAAGAGCAGCATTGATGGGTATTAGGTGATGGTTAGAGAGAGGGAGTGCTGAAAGAATAGATCTGAGACGCAAGAGTTTTATTCAGAACAAGATTCAATGAGTGGTCGTCTTGGTGAGCAAAAGAGCTGTTCCAGGGCTGAAGTAGGGTGACCGGACAGCAAATGTGAAAAATCGGGACAGAGGGTGGGGATAATAGGAGCCTATAAAAGAAAAAGACCCAAAAATCGGGACTGTCCCTATAAAATTGGGACATCTGGTCACTCTAGGCTGAAGATCAAATAAGGCGGGAAGGATGAGGAAATGAGGCTGAGGCAGCAACTAATGGGTCAGAGGAGACATGGACACGGAAGGTGTATTCAAAGAGTATGAAGGAGGACTGCATAGAGGCAGAGGGAAAACTAGCAATCAAAGAGGGAGGTGGTCAAGGTACCAAAATAAGGAACCTGCTCCTTCCTAGATGGTCCTCTCCCCACTTGCTTCTCTCCCTCCCAACAGAAGCCATTATGAAACCTTAACTATAGTGCTTGGTGTTGCTATAATGAAATGAAATAAATAATATATAGGTGTCAATACAGCTATCTTTGAGTCTTTGTTTAACACATCAACTTTCAGTGGTTTCTGGTTGTTCTACAATTGTTTTAGGTACTGTGAGGACTGATTAGCAAATTTTTGCAATGGACTTTGATATGAAGTGGTACTAAAAAAAACAACAGCCTGGATTCAGAGCCGTGCCCTATATAATAGTAATTATCACACCAAAAGGTATCTAATTTCCCAAATACTTTGCTCTCCTTCTCCTGTGTCAGCAGTGGTACTATCCAAAATTCAATATGCTGGTAACAAACAAGAATAGGATAAATAACAAGGTGGCTTGCAGCTGCATTGCAAGAATATACTTATGATTGTGGAGACAGATTAGAACACCAGGTGTTTATGGTTACTAAGGTGGGGCTGGCAGTATCACCTATGAAGGTTGCCTGACACTTCCTGTGATAAAACCCTGTTTTAGGTTGTTTATAAGTTTGCCAGACTTAAACATTTTGGGATGAATTTTTCCATGCCAGGTATTTGCCTCAGGCTAAATTGTTGTGGGGAAATCTCGCCAACACGGTTTATCTGAGAATGAGATCAGGGGAAGATGTTTTTCCCCATGTAAAAAATATTCTGGTGATCCAACCCCCTCCATGCTTTGGAGCTAGGGATTACAATTTGGCAGGGTGTGGCCTGTGTGTCAGTAATGTTCCTTTTGCTATCCCCATGAAAATCCACCGAAATTTGGTGAAGTTATAAGCCTTTGAAAAATCACAGTTCATCCATGCTCAGTAGAGACTTCAACTTTAGAAGCTAAATTCCTCTGATATAACACCTGCGCTGAGCAGGACTCCCCCTGCAATTTTGGACTGGTAATCTTTAATGGTCTCATCATAGGAAATATTTCTAAAATTAAGACTACAGGAAAGCTTATACTCAATGGTCAGAAGCTTCAACAAATGATGAAGCTAATGACAAAGATAAATAAGTCAAAAAAACTGATATAAAAGTGCAACTCCCAAAACTCTTACATTGGAAACCTGCCATCATATTTGACAAATATCTTTTTATGGACACTATCGACTTGAAGTCAAATCAATTTTAAAAATAGTCAGAAATACTTTCAGCTCCCATACTGACACCCATATGTCAGTGTTTGTGGGTTTTCAATCACATTTTACTCTTTAATTATATTTTCTTCCCTTTGCTCCATGAAAAACCCAACCAAGAGAACTTGACTGGCTGCAAAAGGGAACTGGTGAAACTGTCTATACACAGAATGCAATCACATGAATGTAGGAATTGCCAGATGGGCCAGTGTTTCATCTGGTTGTGATGGAGCAGGGCGGATTTGACCTGGGAATGTAGCCTGGGAGTTACATTGAGCTACTTGAGCCAGGAGGGGGGTTGGGAGAAATGACACCTTCTGCCCGGGAGACTGAACAAAGGAGAGGAGGAGCAGAGGGGAGGGGAGAGAGAGCTGCTGGAGGGTTTTGGGACTTCTTCAGTTTGGGGATGGGAGGTGCAACGCAGGGAACCCCAAGCTGGGGTCTAAGCTCCCTGCACTCCCCGAGAGGACTTGATTGAGGGGTCCTGGTTGTATCTACAAGCTCTGCTGTAGACTGTGTTCCTATTATCCAATAAACCTTCCGCTTTACTGGCTGGCTGAGAGTCACGGTGAATCGCAGGAAACCGGGGGTACAGGGCCCTGAGTCTGGAGCATCCAGCCCACCAGAGGAGCTGGCCTGGAGCTCTCCTCCCTCCTTAGAAGGTGGTACTCTGCCAGCCCCCCTTCCCTGGGAATGCTGCCTCTCGCCCGGCTGGGCCTCTACCCAGTCAACCCTCTGTGGGTTCAGTCTGCTCAGTCTGTCCCTGAGCCTGGGGCACTGGTACCGTATGTGGCCTCTCTGGTCCGTCTCAATGTAACTCCCAGGCTACATTCCCAGGTCAAATCCGCCCTGCTCCCTGCTCCGTCTCAATGTAACTCCCAGGCTACATTCCCAGGTCAAATCCGCCCTGCTCCCTGCTCCGTCACACTGGTCCCCAGTGTTCTGTCTCTATCAGTGACCATTACAAGATTCAAGAAACCCCGAAGTGGGCATTTATGGAATAACCTGCTCCTATTCTGTTCTCTTTATACTCTACAGAACACCCATCACTCTGCTAATCTAATGTCCATCAATTAGAAATTAGTTAATCCCTCAAGAATAAGAGTTGATCACTTCCATTTTTCTTAAATATTATCTAACCTTACTGCAGATGTTCCCTGAATCCTATCAACGTCTAACTGTGTGTGTGCGTTCGTGCATCCGTGTTGAGAGAAGTTTAGCAAACTATTATTTTTCTCCACCTCTAAACAGTCCCAATCTTCCCAACCTCTCTTCCAACACAAGCTTTCCTCTGCTTCTCAGCAGATTTTTGTTTGTTGCCCCTGGCAGAGCCCCCTCCACTACTGTCAAATGCACAAACTAAAGTAACTCCCGTATTCGCGTCTTTAATTGCTGTCACCCGCAGTAATCTGAGCTCCACCAGTAGACATTTTTCAGACAAAATGCCACTAAAGTAGCTCAGCAAATTCAGCTGCCCGCTCGCTGCAGTGGCTAGTCCTGCGCCAGGTGAGGCCGGTACCTGAGACAGCGCGAGACACTCTGTTGGGAGCCCCCGAGACCTCGGCTGGGCTCTCAGGGCCCGGGGCGCCCCAGGCTGCAGAGGGGCTGCTCTGAGCGCGCGAGCCGCACCAAGGCGCCGGGCACAAGGCGGAGGGAGGCGCCCGCGCAGGGCAGAGGCTGCGCCGCAGCCCGGGGAACGGGAACTTTGCGGCTGCTCCGCGGGCCGCTGTCACGCTGCGTCGGGCGCGCTCGCTCCCCACCTTGTGCCCTGTCGCTGTCACGTCAGTGGAGCAGCCGCCGCGTGGGGCCCGCGTCTCCCCACTGCCCCCCGGGACCGAGAATCCCCCGCGCTCAAGGATTCCTGCAGCTCACCGGGCTCCGGCTCTGAGCTCCGCGCTCCGCTTTGTCTCCGCCGCTGGGTCCCGACCAGGGTTAGCAGGGCGGGAGGGCGGCACCCGGCAGAAGGGCTGGTGCTAGTTTCGGGTGTTTGTGAAAATCGCCCAGAGGCACGAGTGGGAGCCGCCCCGTCTTGGGCCCTGCCCTCCTAGGCCTTGGGAGCGAGCAAATGCGTCCCTCCGCCCCTGCATGAACTGGGAAAGGTTCGTGAGCCCGGAATCCCCTCTCCAGGGCCGCCCGGGGGCAAATGGGGCAATTTGCTCCAGGCCCTGCAGGGGCCCCCCAAGAGAATATAGTATTCTGTAGTATTGGAACTTTTTTTATGGAAGGAGCCCCCAAAATTGCTTTGCCCTAGGCCCCCTGAATCCTCTGTGTGTGGCCCTGCCCCTCCCATGAACTGGGATCTCCTCCCAGGAACCAGAAAAGGGGCCTCATCCCCCTTACACTTATTGCTTCCCTCCATGAACTGAGAAAGGGGCCTGAACTCCCTTGAAACCTCTGCACACACCCCCGCCCGTATGAACCAGCAAACGGGCCACTGCCCCTGACATGCACTGTGCTACCCCGTGCATGAGCTGGGGAAATGGCTTTGCCCAGCAGCACAAGAGTCTACATAGCTGTTTTTAGGGGACATTCTGGTGACTCCAGAGTGGGGCTGTGTTCTCGAACATGGCTCTGTAGTCACTGGGGCCCAAATAAGCAAAGGGGATATCAAGCTACTGCTCTCTGAGCAATCTGTATTTTTATAGCCTCATGTTCAAAAATAATGACTACGGTGTTAGGAATCGTGCGACTGACTTAAAAATAATTAGAGTTTAAAAACTAAATGTTATGGGGGCTCTTTATTTGCCTTTTGGTGTTTGAGATTTCAGGGTGTGTCTAGGTCACCTTGTTAAGGTTTTCTCTGCAACCCTAAGGGTTAGAGACTTACTATTTTTAAAAAATGCAAACAGACTCTCAGTCACAGGATTCCAGGAACGGGGGCTTTAAGAAAAACACAAAATACTGTATCGGGGATAGCCATGTTAGTCTGTATCCACAAAAGCAACAAGGAGTCCGGTGGCACCTTAAAGAGTAACAGATTTATTTGGGCATAAGCTTTCGTGGGTAAAGTTAGGCCTTGGCTACACTCGGGACTTCCCAGCGCTGTATGGACTCCATCTCTCCGAGGGGAATAGCTTGCAGCGCTGCGAGCGAGCGTGCAGTGCTGCAGACTCTGATTACACTGGCGCTTTACAGCACTGTACTCACTGCGCTCAGGGGGGTGTTTTTTCACACCCCTGAGTGCAGCAAGGTACAGCGCTGTACACCGCTAGTGTAGCCAAGGTCTTAGTCTTTAAAGTGCCACCACAAAATACTGTGTGACCTGTATGACCAACCAAGTGGGCTGTTACACAGTAGTATCAGTTTCCACATAAGGAAGCCCTTACAACAAACTTCCTAAGCAGTAAGAATTTCACACCTCACCTTATGAGCTAATTAAAACAACCTATAGCAAAAAATACAGTAAGTGAAAAGGTCTGTTTTGTTAGAATGCTTATAAGGTAGGCTTTTAATTTAATTATTAGAAGTGTATTCTGAATTGTGTTTATGATGTTCTATTTTGCCTCAAGCACTTTTGCGCGGAGGTGTGGTGGTGAATTGTAAGTTCAATTTTTATTGCACTCCGAGATCATGGGTAAAACAGATCATAGAATGCAAAAAGCGTTGGCTTGTTTTAAACAAATATCACGTAAATAGCACTGTTCCGCCCTTCAGCATTTAGACACGGAATGAGTGTCAAAACTGAACTAATACAGGAACAGATGAAACTAAAGGAGTAGCAAGTAACGTTTCCTATTTCTTCTGGGTCCTTCTGGACACTGGGAAATCCCCCAGAGCAGTACTTGCAGCAGGGCCACTAAAAGGTTTCTGGTACAGGCTCATGATGAGCTACCTGCCAGAAACTTACACAGAAGCCAGCCTCAAGTGCAAACTCTACAGATGGTTGTATATGTACCTATGGTGTCTAGTGAAGGTTTGTTTAGGTGAGTGTGCTCCCCGATATTGCAAATACTGGAGTAAAAACAAAAGTTCTGACTTTTTATGAGTTATAAAACCTAGCACTGGGGGCCATAAGTCTTTGCTAGTAGCACAAGGTACATGAATGGGAAAGAGGGTTAGGCTTAAACTTCCCTCCCCTTCTCTCCTCTCCATGAACTGGGAAAGAAGTTTCAGCCTCTGAAAGTCACAACACACACACCACCCTCTGCACCAGGAAAAGAAGCTCAGCCTTGTTAGCACATAGGCTAGAGGTCCATAAATGGTTATGAAATTATTCTAAGGGACTATTGTCATGTAAGCCTACCCATGCCAGCATCCCACACAGTTATGGCAAGAAACTAAAAGCAAACATGACTTAGGCTTTGTTAAGCTTATACTGCTTATAGAATGAAAATATAAGATCTATTTTTGTAAACTATTTGCATGATTGCAAAGGTATTTTTAAAGCATATGTGCTTGTTAGAATCTCATTGGTTCTACCTGAATATCAAATTATGAAGTGATAATGGAAGCCACAACAAAGAGAAATAATGGAACATTATCAACAAATGAACTTTGTATTACAGAATGGATGATGCATAGGATGTTTCAGCACAACATGAAATGATACAGTACAACCTCAAGAATACAAACACCAGAGTTACAGACTGACTGGTCAACCACACACCATGTGGAACCAGAAGTAAGCAATCAGGCAGCAGCGGAGAACCAAAAAAAAAAAAAAGCAAACACCGTACTGTGCTTGTATTGCATCTTAAAGGTAGGCACATCTGGGCTGCCTGGTACTGCACTGCCAGCCCAAGACAGCCCGAGCCAGTAGAACAGGAGCAGTGCAGGGGTCTGCGCTGCTTTCCTATAAGCCGTGGGCACCGTTTCCATCCCCCCCTCTCCCCTGGCCCGGAGGGGGACGCACTGTTTCCTCCCCGTTCTCCCCTGGTCCGGCAGGGGATAAACTTGCAAACTTAGTCCGACTGACCCCAGAAAAGAAGCTGCCTGGAAGGAAGCTGCTGGTTCTGAGGAGGAAGCTGCTGCGGGAGCCTGGCCTGGAGCGTGAGCTCCTGGAGCTGGAGCCCAAACTGCATTTTGTTCAGAATTATGAACATCTGCATTCCCGGGGTGTCCGTAACTCTGAGGTTCTATTGCAGGTTAAAAAGTGTTATGCAGCTAGCTAACTACATAACCTATTATTGTCTTGTTAATCAGGCCAAAATGTATGTACCTTTATATGTAGTTAAGTTGGAAACTTGGAGCCAATGCTATCTGGACTGCAAGGGTGATGGTGATTGGATGATGTTAGGTGTGTAACTAACCACAAAATGTAAAATGAGGTTTGTTTGTTTTTTTTAAAGTGATCTTTTATATAGCCTTATAACCCATGTGAGTCAGGGTGAGCTGCAGACTGGCCTCCAGATTGGTTGGTGAGCACCATCTTACTGTACATGCTGTACCTGGTGTACAGTAAAACCTCAGAGTTATGAACACCAGAATTACAAACTGACTGGTCAACCACACTGCTCATTTGGAACCAAAAGTATACACACAGGTAGTAGCAGATACTGTACTGTATTTGCCTTTTGGGGAATGGGGGTATTATGTTAAATGTAATCTACCAAAAAAATAAAGGGAAAGCTTTTAAAAAGAGATTTGACAAGGTAAGAAAACTGTTTCTGTGCTTATTTCATTTAAATTAAGATGCTCAAAAGCATCATTTTTCTTCTGCATAGTAAAGTTTCAAAGCTGTATTAAGTCAATGTTCAGTTGTAAACTTTTGAAAGAGCAACCATAACATTTTGTTCAGAGTTATGAACATTTCAGAGTTCCAAACAACCTACATTCGTAACTCTGAGGTTCTACTGTAGTAAGAAAAATCTGACTTAATAAACCAAGTTGAACTTACTATTTGACATTGGGTGACCAGATGTCCCATTTTAAAGGGACAGTCACGTTTTTGGGGACTTTTTTTTTTTTGGTGTCTATTACCCCCCACCCCATCCCGTTTTTTCACAGTTGCTATCTGGTCACCCTAATTTGACATGTCACAGATTAAGAAACTGAACAGAACCCATCATACATTTATTTACAGCCCCTCACACCCACTGTCCCTGGCCCACAACATGAACTGGGAGAGTAATCTCAGCTCCCTTACACTTGCAACTACTCCATCCCCAGCATGAACTGAGAAAAGGGTCTCATGTCTGTCCCCCTTTCCTTTCCTCTCCTCCCCACTCCACACATGCGGAAAGATGCCTCAGCTCCTTACAACCACTACACCACACCCACCCAGCATGAGAGAACCTGCATTGAGAGTCATTAGTTTCTGATAGCAGCATGAGATATCTTGCTTCTAGGGCACAGCTCTAAATGAATCAAGGAGAAGAAAGAAAATAGTCACAAATATTACTTCTTTTTAGAGAGAGCCTTAACACTACTAAAATCTTGCCAGTGCAATTAACACAGAGAAGAGGGTTTAAAAAAAAAAGAAAAGGAAAGCAAGTGGCATTGACAGGGTTCTTTGACCAACTGGATTCCTCTGCTGGAAGTGGCATAGGAGAAATTAACTTCCCATGCTGTAAAATTCTTAGAAAGAAACATTGTTGACTTAGCTGATAAAAACCAAAAATGAAGGGATTAACCAGCCACAGCTGCTTTTCTCCCCTTGCTCAGATCACTAGAGGAAATAAGATACTTGTGTTTGGACTCAGAGAGTAGGTGAACATTTAGCAAAAGGGCCCTCCTGACTGGGGAAAGGCTTCCTTGGCTGGATGATTCTCCAAGGTCTGGATGACTGTGTTTATTTTGTTCATTAGGTGTGTTTCTTA